AGTGTCCAGTCAGTCAGTGTGTCTGTATTAACCTGTCTTTCTCTCAGTGGGTCTGTTGGGGTTGTTGAAATGGAGGACCAGACCAGAGCTGCTGAAAGAGAACCTGGAGAAACTGAAGATCATTGATGGGGAGGAAGTGGTCAAGGTGGGAGACTTTCTGTCTGTGTGTGTGTGTGTGATCACATCCCTTCACCTGTCCCTGTCTGTCTGTGTGCTCAAGCCCCTGTTTCTCTATCATAATAATGATAAGAATAACAACAAGAAGATGATGGCAGTGCTCATCACCCCTGTGCGCCTCTGTCTCTGTGCAGTTCCTGCAGGACACGTTGGACGCCCTGTTCAATATCATGATGGAGCACTCGCAGACTGACGATTACGACATTCTGGTGTTTGACGCCCTGGTGAGTCTGTGTTTCTTTCTTGCTGCAGTGCAGTGGTCTGTGAATAACAGGTCCTTTCTGTTCCTGCCAGTGTGGCTGCCCATACTGAATAATGTCACAGAGTTCTTTGCCAGTGATGTCATTGCTGTGATGTCATTGCGCTGTCCCAATATGTCAGCTGACTGACGGTGTGCTCCTTTCAGATCTACATCATTGGGCTCATTGCAGACAGGAAGTTCCAGCACTTCAACACTGTCCTGGAGGCCTACATCAAACAGCACTTCAGCGCAACACTGGCCTACAAGTCAGTCTGTGTGTCTTTTCACAAGTCAAAACAAAGACCATTGCAAGCCAGCCTGTCTGTGGGTCTGTGGGTCTGTGTGTCTTTTACATGTCAAACAGTTTAAAGAGCTTTTTTTGGCAGGACCAATGAATTACAGTGCTGCCAAAGCAGATACAATAAGCACAACATTTAAACACATTTAATTATGGAACATTACTGAGGGACAGGATCACTGTTTGCTCCTCAGGCTGTGACAGGAGATCACACACTGGGCTTCCTCTCCCAGTAGGATTGGAAGGTGATTCTGGTAGGTGTGGGAATTCTGGGAATAGATTTGTTAGACACTCAACTTTTCCTTCCTCCTGTCCTCTGTTTCTGTCTCTGTCGCTCACGCTCGCAGTTAATGCTGTTTGGCTGAGGCTGTAATTCCCCTAACAGACAGCAGAGGGCAGTGTAGGAGAGCAGATTGCCCCTGCAGGCCACTGTGCTGGGTCAGGTGCAATAGAGCTGTTTAACAAGTTAATAGACATAATTGAGGAGATAAAGTCTCACTAATCAATTCATGAAAACCAAGTGGCAGGCAGTTCGCAGTTGACTATCTGGAGTATTTTAATGTTTCACTCCTTCTCCTCTCTCCCTTTATATCCTTCCTGATCTCCTCTCTCTGTGCGTATCTCTTCCAAATTCCCTCACGGCCTCCTTTCTCCCAGGAAGCTGATGTCAGTGCTGAAGACCTACCTGGACACCTCGAGCCGCGGGGAGCAGTGCGAGCCCATCCTGCGCACACTCAAGGCGCTGGAGTACGTCTTCAAGTTCATCGTGCGCTCCCGCATGCTGTACTCACAGTGAGTGTGCCATCTCCACTACCACTCAACACGCTGTCCGGGCAGCGCCATAGCAACACAGCACGCTGAAGAGTGTAGTATAGAGCACAGCCCAATCCAGTACAGTTAGTATAGAGTACAGCACAATCCAGTACAGTTAGTACAGAGTACAGTGCAATACACAGTACAGATAGTATAGACTACAGCACAATCCAGTACAGTTAGTACAGAGTACAGCACAATCCAGTACAGTTAGAACAGCGTACAGTGCAATACACAGTACAGTTAGTACAGAGTACACCACAATCCAGTACAGTTAGTATAGAGTACAGCACAATCCAGTACAGTTAGAACAGAGTACAGTGCAATACACAGTACAGATAGTATAGAGTACAGCGCAATCCAGTACAGTTAGTATAGAGTAAAGCACAATACACAGTACAGTCATTATAGAGTACAGCACAATGCACAGTACACTTAGTATAGAGTACTGCACAATACAGTACAGTTAGTACAGAGTACAGCACAATCCAGTACAGTTAGTACAGAATACAGTGCAAAACACAGTACAGATAGTATAGAGTACAGTGCAATCCAGTACAGTTAGTATAGAGTAAAGCACAATACACAGTACTGTTAGTATAGAGTACTGCACAATCCAGTACAGTTAGTATAGAGTAAAGCGCAATACACAGTACAGTTAGTATGGAGTACAGCACAATAAACAGTGCAGTTAGTATAGAGTACAGCACAATAAACAGTACAGTTACTATGGAGTACTGCACAATACAGTACAGTTAGTATAGAGTACTGTATTGTCTTTTTATCCTGTAGCGTTCCAGTGGGTGAGGTAGTGTTGTGTGTCCCAGTGGGTGACGTAGTGTTGTGTGTGTTGTGTGTCCCAGTGGGTAAGGACCCACTTGTTTGGCTTGTGTTGTGGTTTGGTTTATTTTGATCCATGATGTTCTAGCTGTGCTGTCCTGAGGTTGGTTGGTGTCAGTGAGCTTCAGGACCAGCTGTCTGAGGGGGCTCTTCTCTGGGCTCAGCTCTTGGCTCAGCAGGGCCTTGTGGTGGTAGGCGCTCTGGTCAGTGTGTTTCAGGTGTAACCCATATTTTCTTGCTCTCTTCTGTATATTGATCAGCAGTAGGGTTGGCTTAAATCAGACCTGCACGCTTTGTTAGGAGCTTTTCCTGCACATGGAGGATGTTTCTGCAGATCTCCATGTGCAGAGTTTCTGTGGGATGTTTGTCCCATCGTGTGTAATCCTGGTCTGTGAGGGGACCCCACACTTCACTGCCGTATTGGGCCGTGGGTTGGATCACACTCTCGAATACTGGTAGCCTCTCTTTCTCTGACTCGTAGACGCCTGATGTTCCACCACACGCTGGCGCACAACCCCCCCCGCAGGCCCCCAGTGAGCGAGGCCGTCTCCGAGCTCCGCGTGACAGCGGGGTGTTAGTCACGCCGGAGCGAGTGGCTCTGCGCTGCAGCACCTCGCGGTTATTTCTGGCACGGCGGATGAGCGGAGATATAAAAAGACATCCGTGCCTGAGCTCTGCGAAGGTCTGCGCGACACAGCGTCCTGCATGGCCCACATTAACTTTGAACCAATAATCTCCTCCCTCAGTCTGTGCACAGTGCTGTCTGACCCAGGCAGGTCCCCAGAGTGCAACCAGGCCGGAACTGGGCATTTCCTTGCTGGAGACTTAGAGGAAAATCACGCCATTGGCGATCTGCCCTCTGGGCTGGAGATTCAAGAATACTGCCCCCGCTGGTGACTACGGGTACTGCAGCTGTAGGTCACAGCGAGCGCAATGCAAGAGTGGAAATAAACGATGATGTGATAAAACAAAGAGAACCCAGCCTTTTGATCCCAGCTCTTCTCCCACTGAACCCCCCCCCCCCATCGCGTCCCTGTTGTGTGGCGAGAAAAGCAATATTTGAGCCCCCTGTTGGTAAGTCCAGAGCCAGAAGTGTCACCTGACCTCCCGCAGCTCCAGGCTCACAGAAAGGCTCATGGGAACGGCTACTGGCAGGAGGACGGCGTCCAGCCGATTGGTCATTACCGGCTGAATGATCCGAGGATCTTCCGGCTGTTTCTTGAAAGAAGCTGCCACGATATCAGCTTCAACATCATTAGCCTTAGCTGACTTTAGCTGACCTTAGCTTGCTCCACACTCCCACCACCCTGTGTGTAAAAGAGCTCCTCCTGTCCCCATGGGAGGATCTCATCCAGCTGTCTCTTGAAAAGAAGCCTGGGTGCAGGTTTTAACAACATGGCTGGGCAGCTTGTTGCACACTCCCACTACCCAGTGTGAGCAGCTAGTGTGAACGTGAGAGAGTGCGAGCGCCCGGAAGTGTCAGTGTGAGCATGAGAGTGTCAACGCGTTTGTGTTAGTGTCAGTGTCTCCTACCCACCAAGCCTCAGCTATCTGCAGCTCCAGGCTGGGACAGAGTCCCTGACGCTGGCTGGGCGGCGCTGTGCTCTGATGCTCACTGGGGTACAGTTACGGAGGCCTTGGAGTCTCTATCCCCTGTAACCTTTCCCCACTGTGTGTTGGGGAAAAAAAGAGAAGAGGTGATCAGAGTTGATTAAGCACAGCTGTCACTAATGGGCCTCCTGTGCCTGGGCAGTATAAGGGTGTGGCAGGCAGGAGTGAGCTGTCTGTGTGAGACCAGGTGACCCGCAAAACCCCAGGGTGTCACACAAGAGATCGGAGGACATTGAGGAGACGGTCTGTGCTCTGGACACCCCCAGATCTTCTGCTGCTCCCCCCCAGCCCCCAGAACCCCATGCTGAGAGAGGGGGCTGTTAGACTGAGGACCAGCCAGCTAAAGGAGAATAATAGTGTCTCTGTGTGTATGAGCTCACTGATGCTCTCCCTCTGTCCCTGTGTCCCGGTGTCCGTGAGTCAGGCTGTACGAGGGGCGGGAGCAGACGGAGTTCGAGGAGTCTCTGAGGCGCCTCTTTGAGTCCATCAACAACCTGATGAAGAGCGAGTACACCACCACACTGCTGCAGCAGGTCAGCGCTGTCCCT